CACTAAAAAATAGCTAATTATCATGCAAATTAGGTAATTAATATGCACGAATTTTTACCAAAAATTAATCAAATCTGCGCATATGTTCAGAGCATCTATGTACCAAGTTTCATCAAAATCCAATAAGTGGTTCTTTAGATATCAGTGGAACAGTCATAGAACAGCTAAAAATTAGCTAATTATCATGCAAATTAGGTAATTAACGAGCATGGATTTTTACCAAAACCTAATCAAATCTGCGCATATGTTCAGAGCATCTATGCACCAAGTTTCATCAAAATCCAATGAGTGGTTCTTTAGATATCAGTGGAACAGTCATAGAACAGCTAAAAATTAGCTAATTATCATGCAAATTAGGTAATTAACGAGCATGGATTTTTACCAAAACCTAATCAAATCTGCGCATTGGCCCAGAGCATCTATGCACCAAGTTTCATCAAAAACCGATGTATGGTTCTTGAGATAGCAGTGGAACAGTCGGACACACATACACACATACACACACACATACACATATACACACATACACACATACAGACACACTAACTGCAAAGACTCCCATTTTGTGCTTCGCACATGGGAGTCAAAAATACTGAACATACGAGATGACATTGTCTGTCGCAATCACTTAAAACACAAAATCCTTACATACAACAACAAAATTCAAAACACAATGGCACTTATACTATGTTTAGTATTTTCATTTCCTAATATGAAACACTATAAAGTATATAATGAGTGTTAAATAAAGGACACTCACTACTATTTGTAAAGATGGTCATGGCTAACATGGCTAACACTTATTACAGCAAGTCTCAGAAGTATTGGGGCAGCCAATTTGCAAACTCATTAGTGAATTGGCTAACTGCTTGGGTTTTGACTAAAAAATTGGCTTTTGAATCTAGCTGGTGCCGACCCATGGCCGCGTCCACTCAGGGCGAGTCTAAGTTGCATTAGGGGACATACATAGCTTTGTAGGTGCATGTCTAGATTCCCCTGAATGATTTACTTTGTTACGAGGCGTGATAATGTAAAAGTAGTTTCCCTGGTAAGCCTGAGAATGGCCAGTCAGCTGGCGTAAAGCGATAATATGATAAATGCGATTAATCCGCCGATATTTACTATATGGGGGTAGCTATCTTGAACACTGCTTGAAACTAAACAAGAGTTGGAAGAGCCATCTCGATGCTGGGAAAATAAGAGTATTTAAAGGTGTGTTTTTTATAGCAACGGATTGGCGAACAGGCAGAAAAGAAATTTCAAAAACTTGAAGTATACATGAGGGTACGTATTATTATTATTTATTTATTTTGGAAACTCAATTTTTAACTGAAGGAATTAAACTAAATTAGAAATGACTACTGTTCAACTCCGGACGTTTAATTGTACTTAGCGTATGTTACTATGACAATCAACCAATGACCTAAATGCATGGTCACAGCCAAATCGCTGTTTAATTGAAATAAAAAAAAATCAAAGAAAACAGAGAACTCTAAGACAGAAAGAGAAACACGAGCGATGTATTCGAACAACAGGCATTACAACAGCCAAGTTTGTTTCACCTTGATCAATGCAGTAATACCCACGATGCACTATTCCCATAAGCGTGGGTATGTGGAAGTTCACGACCAAGCGTACTGCGGTCAAGAACAAGGTTGAGACACAAACGTAATTTAATACACACTACTACAGTTCGACTAAAGTTTTCAAACACCACGGTCAGTCACACAAAGTCCCCCAAATTCAAAAGGGATTTTTAAATGCACCCGGGAACACGAGACGAACAATTGTGCATACTTAGATTACGACTCCACGCTATACGCAGCATGAAAATGGCAATTTAAACTTTGCTTGCAGATATTCCCGAGCAGATTTACATAATAATACTGTTCGATAACACGGCCAATCACATAAAATCCATCAAAAGGGAACTGCAAGTCGTATAATGCCAAAACAGTACCATGATTTCACAACTTTCGAAATACGTTCTCTTTTATCGACGTCCACTGTACTGTACTGTTTAATGTCTTCCCGTTCGCAAGCACACAAAGCCTAAACTATCAGAAATTCGTAACACATAATTCGAGTGATGGAATAACAAAATTACTTATCATTTGTAAATTCAATCTATCAAAAAAGTATAAAAAACATTTTTATAAACAATTTTTATTATATAAATACACTTTGAAAAGAAACAAAATTCATAAACATAAATTTATTTGAATACATTCTCACTACAAATTACACAATACTTATTTTCTAGTGGAGTTTCTTCACAGCACAAACTATTGGAATCATGCACACGTGTGAGCACTTCGGTGACCACATTTTATAGCTACGCCCAAAATAGTCTATCATTTATTGCGCAACTGTGACCACACGACATCATTCTGTTAACATCCACACATTTTCATAAAATCTCCATGCACTTTTTGACCTTTCATAAGTAAAATACACTACAATTTACTCCAGAAAAACAATTTTCTTGGTACATTCCTACATTTTTGCATACTAATGAGGGATTCAGACACATTCCAAGCTGAACAATTTTCTTGGACTAATAACATCGCTGGTCAATCCTTTCCCAGCAATAAAGAGACATGTTGATAAACAGTTTCCTACAAATCAGGAAGAAAATGACAAACTTTCACATCTAAATTATCCGTCGGGGTAATATTAGCCAAACGCTAAAAAAATCAACCTCATTACACATAGAACATTTTCCCTGGTATATTTGAAAGCGAAATCTTCATCCAACTGTGGCTGATTAGCTCCTAAAGTATGACGACCGTCCCCTGCTGTTATTTCGATTCACCCAGAGTGGGCGTGACAACAAGACGGCGCCTATGAGATTCGAAAACCAACTGTTTAGTCAAAACCCAAGCAGTTAGCTAATTTGCTAGCGAGTTTGCAAATTGGCTGCCCCAATACTTTTGAGACTTGCTGTAAGACCACAGGAACTAAAACATTGCTAAATTATTCTCAGTGAATGGCAAAGAATCTCAAAGAAAATTTTCGTTTTTTGAATTATGTAGTTGTATATTATTTTTCCAATTCAAAATGGCTGCCAAAGTAATCAATTGAGGGCATCCATCTGTTATTTGAGAGTGATACATACTTGGTGCTTTCCTGAAGTCATATGGGGCTCCTCTCACTGTAATGCCTCTTTCATATCCCAAAGTAATCAGCTTATCAACGAGCGGTGCAAAATAGGAACCTGTAAGAAAATATAAAGATATAAGTTACAGGTGCTTGTACTAAGTGCTCGTACCCAAAAACCTCACTGATCAACTCAGTTAAAATGGTTGGAAGTGTGGATTATGACAGTCACTGGTAGTTGGCATATAGTCCAGCATTATTGTAAGACCATGACTAACTTCAGCTTCAAGAAAAAGTTTTCAAGTTAAGACTCTATGCAAACATGTAGACAGACAGAGACAGACAGATGAACGGATGGATAGATGGTGTTTGTAAGCTGGTTGTTTGCATTGAAACTATAGGAGCATGTATGAAAACAAGTTTCAAAAGAATCAGTTTTAAAGTTTTTAAGTTATGACTGTATGACACATGACAATGACACATGTATACCCCCAACACTACATGCCATGGGATAAGACTTTTCTATTGACTATACTGAGAGGTGATGATTGTGTGAGTAAATGACATAATTTGTATATAATTAGCATAACATATCATTTGTTTTTTAATCGCAAGTCATTGTTAATGACATAGTCCCTGTTGGAATTAGGGGAAATGTTATTTATCCTAAAAATAAAGTAATATTGACCAAAAGCATAGTTAGTAATTGAGAGTGAATAATTGGCTTGAAATATATGGTTAGAAATTTAGCAGGATACGCTATTCATGCATTTTTTTGTATTCAAACTGAATTTTGTTTCTTCAGACTATGCACGGAAATATAGTAGTATGGTCAAAAAGTAACATTGCAGGCAGTCAAACATCTTTGGTTAGACTGTGAAACTAATTGATATGGACATGTATCCTAACATGTATACCTGGTAAATTTGAAGAGAAAAAAAACTTGTCATTTTGGATTTGAATATGAAACAAATCATCATGGACATGCAACTCAACTTGTATAATGTTTGTATCAAATTTAAACCAAAAACCGACAAATCCTGTCCAAGATTTTCCAAAAAGCAAGATGGCCGCCAGTCAGTCATTTTTGATCTGATTATGAAACAAACTGGCATGGACATGTATTCCAATATGTATGATGCATGTGCTAAAAATGAATGAAAATGGTCCCTTAGCCTTGGAAATATAGTAGTATAGTCAAAAAGCAAGATAGCCGCCAATAATCCGATTGTGAAACAAATCGTCATGGACATGTACCGTATTACCCCGGGCACGCGCCCCTCCCTGGGCAAGCGCCCACCTCCCTGTTTTCACAAAAGTTACATGTTGGGGACATCCTCGGTTAAACGCCCAGGGTGATTTTTAGCCAAGAACGGGGTCAACAATAAAGTTTTATTTGTCAAAAACGAACGTGTTTGATTTATTTAAATAGTGTGTTTGTTACGGTAGTTCTCTTTTTGGAGTGTGTAGTGGCCCTGAACAGGGCCGTTTTGTTTGTGTTTTTACGTAAAAACTCATTGGAACTTAACGACGTAAGATGAACCACGAAGCATGTGGCGCACACGTTCTGCTTTCTCTTCATTCACGATGAATCCAATATTGCAATAATTCATACCTTGGTGAGTGGTTTGAAGCACTTAGCTTTGGTTTCAAAACGTAGCACTTCGCTGACTGTGAATCCATAACGGGAGCTAGCACTTTTGAGACATCACGTTGTAAACTTGCTACTTTCTTTCCATCCCTTCAACACAGCTATGGCATTATGGTCATGTGGATTATTTTTCTGTCGTTGAAGAAAAAACATTTTGCCGACCTCAAGTCCATTACGATAACCATAATGAGGCATGCCGACGATGCATCATAATTTTGTCATGTGTGTGGGGGTGTGAATAAATCATGTTAATGAGGTCAACCAGAGTTTATTTTCAGTCTGTTTTTTATGTATCGCCATTTGGATATGTTTATGTATTCACAATAGTTTGTAAACATTTCACATCAGTAATAAAAGGTTTATTTGTTTCATAACCCTGTCTGCTATTCTTCAGTAATTACGATGCGATGTATCAATACGTGCATGAACAAAATTATGCTAATGAGGTCATCGCCATCTTGGATTACAAGCGGTAGTTTTTCCCGGTCGTTTCGACTTGCACTGATCACGGTTACTAAAAAAGTAACCGTGCATTGATTACAATACTTGCCATACTTTGTAGCCAAATTCAGTGAGTAATACAACTCCATTCACTGACATAAAACAATTTTTATTTATGAAATTCGACCCCGTGTCTTAGTTTTCCCACAGTTCTTGACCGAGTGCTCACGTTTATTGAAACCTCGCATAAATCAAGAAATAAGTATGTGTACAAAGTGTACGAAAGCATTCCTTTATTTGACCTCATCATACAATCACAAAAACAACTTTTTTAAAGCTTTTTTGGGGTGGTCCTCGGGTAAGCGCCCACCCCCAATTTTTTTCCCGATTTTGTATGTTCAGGCCCCTGGGCGCGTGCCCGGGGTAATACGGTAATCTAAAATGTAAATTCAGGAAAATCAAACAGAAGTGAATTATCGATTTAGAAGTACAATTTGTTAGAATTGATTTTGGCAAAAGTAGCATGTATGAAAATGGTAATTACAGATTTTCGAGAGGTAAACTGAATATGGAATGTAGTATTTACCGCCTTTCAAGGTTGTTAACAGGTCATTGTCGAAGCATAGTTTACACACGGTTACTGTGGTCTATGCATTCCCACAATATTCAGGCAGTCTATTATCTACGCTGTATTATATAAATTTGATAAGTGGTATTTGAATAGGTCAAACAATTCTCAGTAAACAGTCAAATTTGGCTTAGCCAAATATGGACCTGAAAATAGAAATGCTTCAAAAGTGAGGGTGAGCACTTAGTTGAGCATGGGTGCTGAGTCGGTATGGTACATGTACTGTGAATCATTAAATCTCATAAGATTCGCCAGCAAGGTCACTATGACCCTGAGATGCACATTAAACAACTGCTAGTAGCATGCAGTAAATGTTTTCTCATTCCAAATAAACCTATAAAAGGAACATTGTGTTGCGTACCATATGATACTTTGCTAGGGTCCAGCCATTCCACTGAACTAGTATTACCAAAATGTGGTATCTTGACATCCACTCCGATTTGATTTGTGGTCCTTCTTGTTTTGTTGTTATATGTTAACCTGGCAAACAAAGTACATG